CCTAAAAGTGCACCTAAAAATGGACCTAAATTTCATGTACTTTTTGTTTCCTAAGTCTGCGCTTTATTTTTTTGTTGTTTTTTGTTATATTTTGTTGTGAAGAAGAGCTAGATTTATTTGTTGTTAGTTTTTGTTTAAAATACTTTTGTTGATTGTGTTTCTTTTGTGTGATTTTTTGCTTGGAGAAGATGAGTTATCATAAACAATTTTATGTGGTTAGGGAGAGAAAAGTATTGTTTTGGTTGTAGAAAAAATATACGTGTATGGTAGAAACAACACAGAATAGTGACACAAGTAACAGTAGTGCTGTTGCAAAAGCAGTTGCAGCCCTTTTTTTCTTCGCTAGCATTTGCAGCGAATGGCTTGCAAGTGTCTATGTTTCAGAGCAGCTACATTTCCGACTGCATAATGTTTGTTGCCTGAAAGGCATGATTTCCGTGCTGTCAAGGTCACGTGACTGTCAAACCTTACAGTGCTCAGAGTTTGAAAAAAGAGAAAAGGAGTATTGGGCATTGTTGTTTCTTATATGTTTTACTTTTGTTGGGTGACTTTACTTGTGAGATTGAGTTACTTCAGTTCATGTTACTTGTGATTAGTCAATTTACTTGAGCATTTGCATTCCTTGGTGTGATGATTGTTATCTTGAAGTTTTGCATTACTTGATATCATTTTACTTGTGCTCAAGATATTCAATGTACAATATTGCAATTGAAACTTTGCTACAACAACATTTTAAAAACTCAAAACAAACAAAACCAGAGATAAATAATTACAAAAATAAAATAAAAAAAGGTTGGAAAATATAAAATGTATATGTAGTTTATATGTAGTTTATATGTAGTTTATATGCAGTTTATATGCACTTTTCAAAAGTGCATATAAACTACATAAAAAATGCATATAAACTACATATAAACTACATAGAAACTACATAAAAAGTACATATAAACTACATATAAACTACATAGAAACTACATAAAAAGTACACATAAACTACATATAAGCTACACATAAATTGCACATAAATTATATAAACTACATATAATATATCTAAAAACTATAATGAAGGTACATGATAATTACTTCCAAATTAATACCATGCAAAACAAAGACATACACAAACAATATATAACATGTACATAGTTTCCATGTTAGTTCTTAAACTGCTTTCAAAAACAAAATCAAACTTAAATCAAGAAACCCATCATATACAATCAATCCAGAAAAGAACAACATCATACAGATTCTCTGCAATCTATTCTCTTGCCATTTGTTTGGTTTCATACTTAGTAAATCATCAACAGTGTATCCTGTCTCCTACTTGATTTCATGATATTTTCACCAGATAAACCATTTTCAATCTTTCTTGAGTCAGTAAAATCATAATACATCACAAGTAACTCTGCAAGGATAGTCACAAGTAACAACTACAAAAAATAACCACAAGTAAGCTCTTTTTCAATCATATTTCGTGATTTGCGAGACTAAAATCGACACAAATCACAGCACATCCCATCAAATTTCATCATCAAACCAATCTCGTAATGTTTAAAATATATGTTCAAATAACATATTTTTCGAACAAAAATTAAAAAAATGCATCCAAAAAAATAGGTTGCAACCTAAATTTACACCTAAATTTGGACCTAAATTTAGGTGCAAATTTAGGTGAAAAGAATTAGGTGAAAATTTTCCTAAAATTTTCCACCTAAAACGAAAAAATTACCTAAATTTTTGAAATGTAATTTTTACTAATTTCCGAGACTCAGGGTAACGCGCCGTGCGAAAATCTATCGTCGCTGCTACCTGCTACCGGCCCTGCGGTGCACGCGACTGGATTGCCGCGCCGTGCGAAGACTCCTTGTCGCTGCTAGCGGCTCTCGGCTCTGCGGTGTACGTGACGAGATTGCCGCGCCGTGCGAAAATCTGACGTCGCTGCTACAATTTTGATATCGCGCTTAGTGCCGAAGAAAAACGGCTGCCAAATGCCAGTGCATGTGCGCACGCATGAACGATGCTGCCAGCACACGAAACACAACCATTTAGCCTTGCCAGCTTCAGAAAGCATGGCGCCCATCTGGGAAAGAACATATGAAAAAAACATTTGGTTGTGACAAACGCGCTTCGGCATCATCAAACCATAGCCATATGTATAGCTATGTCTACACCATACCCTATATAACTCTGTCTCGTGATCGTCGCCGTCGTCCTCGTCATCGCCGTCATCGTCGTTCTCACCGTCGTCGTTGTCGTCCTGGCCACGTCGCCATGTCGCCGCCATGTCGTCGCCATGTCGTCGCCATGTCGTCGCCATGTCGTCACCATGTCGTCACCATGCCGTCGCAATGCCGTCGCGATGCTGTCACCATGCCATGGGCATGTCGTCGACATGTCGTCGTCATGCCGTCGCCATTTGCACCAACTAAGCTTGCCACAGACCCCCTGGTACATACTATCTGCCCACGTGGGGGGCCGTTTGATCGCGAAAAAGGAGGCCAAAGGCCGTTTGGCCAAATGGCTTCGAAAAAACGGTTTGGCCTTGGAATCAAGATATGGCCGTGAAAACAAGATTTGGCCGTGAAAAAGTGCGCATTTGGCCGTGGAAAAATGTTGAATGGCCGTGGAAACCGTGAAAAACGTGAAATTAAGGAATTGTATTTGATTCAGGGCTGTTTGAATTTGATTTGGGGTTTGAATTCTAGTTTGCAGTCATGGTTTTAGATACTGTAAGATTTTATATATATATATATATTCCAAGTTTTCCGTCGTACTAAATTCGAATGGTAGATTTCACATTCCCGCTCCAGCTCAAAGGTACGTGTCTCCCTCAAAAAATACTTTACTTCGTGTGATCCCCACCATGACATTTATAGATTTTCTTACTGGCAAATCTTCTGGCATTCTATCTGATATATCTTCTGGCATTCTATCTGGCATATCTTCTGGCATTCTATCTGGCATATCTTCTGGCATTCTATCTGGCATATCTTCTGGCAGATATTCTGACATATCTTCTGGCATTCTATCTGGCATTCTATCTGGCATATCTTCTGGCATTCTATCTGGCATTCTATCTGGCATATCTTCTGGCATATATTCTGACATATCTTCTGGCATTCTATATGGCATTCTATCTGGCATATCTCCTGGCATATTATCTGGCATTCTATCTGGCAAAACTTCTGGCTTTCTATTTGGCATATCTTCTGGCATTCTATCTGGCATATCTTCTGGCATTCTATCTGGCATTCTGTCTGGCATATCTTCTGGCATTCTATCTGACATATCTTCTGGCATTCTATCTGGCATATATTCTGACATATCTTCTGGCATTCTATCTGACATTCTATCTGGCATATCTTCTGGCATTCTATCTGGCATTAATGCTCCAACAAATGTTCCGATGTCACATATCCACCATGCCACCATAGCTGTGATACACAACAGAAACCCTGTGTGATGTTGACTGTCTCAAGCATCAATCCAGCATGAGATCACTTCAAGTAATTTGTAGTAACTTGCTGTAAGATGTTGCCTGTCTCAAGCGTCTTTGCAAACAGCTCCAAAGGTACAGAAGTGGAAATGTCTCTGTCCACCCCAGTGACTCTGTCATCTGTTCAAACTGATTGCTTCAAACTTTGCCACCTGCAAAGTAAGAAGTGGCATTGCCCCGGTCACTCTACCACACACGCGCGAGTTTGCAAGTAATATATAACATACTTGTCTGACATTCTTTCTAACTTTCTTCTTTCTATCTTCCTACATGAGGTCCGGCAGGGAACACTTGGCGTGGATACTCGCGGTTGAGGTCCGGCAGGGAACACTGGGCGTGGATGGTCGTGGTTGAGGTCCGGCAGGGAACACTGGGCGGGGATGGTCGTGGTTGAGGTCCGGCAGGGAACACTGGGCGTCGAGGGTCGTGGTTGAGGTCCGACAGAGAACACTGTGCGTCGAGGGTCGCGGTTGAGCAGGAGGAGGAGGAGAGGAGAGGAGGAGAGGAGAGGAGGAGAGGAGCAGGCAACTGACATAAAATCTAACAACCCTCACCTGGCAGGTGGGGAAAAATGTTTTGCCCTAGATTTAGTATATTATATGGTTGGGATTGCATAGGTATATATATATATATAATTATATATATATGATGAAGCTCAAAGCTACCTTGCTGGCTCACTGCCTCCTTGCTAGCTCAAAGCTCAAAGCTACCTTGCTGGCTCAGTGCCACGTAGCTGGCTCAGTGCCACGTAGCTGGCTCAATGCCACGTAGCTGGCTCAGCGCCTCGTAGCTGGCTCAGCGCCACGTAGCTGGCTCAATTTTTTTAGCGAAAAAAAAAATATTAAAAAAAAAACATCGCAGAAATTGAGCCGGCTACATGCCCTTGAGCCGGCTCGCCAATGCGTCATGAACCCGGCCAATACATAGTTAGTATTCGTTTTGATGCTCTCACATTCGTCCGCCAGCTCAACGTGACGTAGCTGGCTCAACTTTTTTGGCGTGTTTTTTATTTGTTTTTTTCGTTGAAAAAATTGAGCCAGCTCGATGCCATTGAGCTAGCTCGATGCCCCTGAGCTAGAGCGATGTGTTTGAGCGAGCTCGATGGTGCTGAGCCAGCTCGTTGCAGTTGAGCGAGCTCGCAGAAACTTCCCAATCCCAGAGTACGCCTTATTGAAAAGATTCAATAATGATCGACAGTTTCAACATGGAGGTCTAATTTCAATATATATTGAAATTTTCCCTGGATTCCCTATTGAAACAGGGGTGCATTTTCTATTGTATTTTTCAACAGAGCTGTGTTGTATTTTTCAACATGGTTCTGTGTTGAAACCTTTCCAACTTGGTTCATCCAATGCATTTTTTGCTCATCTTTGCTTGCTCTGCTACTTGTGAAACTTTGTACAAAACTATATACATCTTGCCAAGATTTCAGGCCCTTTTGCAGGGCATGGCCCCTTTTCAGGGCAGCCCTTTCTCAGGGCAGCCTTTTCCAAGGCATTTCCCAATGTTAATCACTTTCTATATCTTGCCATGAAAAATCAGCTCCTTGGATCCTCAGGTGAAGAGCTAACCTGTATCTCCAAGTGACCTTACTGGCCACCTGGTAGGGGGCAGTGCCACTCAGGCAGGAATGAGCAAGGGCTGATAGGTGGCCCACCATTGTTTCACCAGCATAACAGGAATAAAATTTAGGATTGAACCACTGAAAGACACTTGCTAAGTGCTCACACAAGTGGAACTTGGGGGTCACATTCCATTGTAGAATTCCTTGCTGGATGCTCAACACTGACAGCCTGGAGTAGTGTAGGAGGCAAAGGTTCATGCTTTTTTTGAAAGAAGTTGCTTCTTCCCCTGTGGGATGCATGCCACTGCAGTCCATGATTGTGTAGAGCTGGTTGAGGTGCTTGACAGTTTGAAACCGATGTACACTGTACTTGTCCTCTGTACTCTGGAATTCCAAGCATATCTCTTCCAGCACAGGTACCAGCCACCTGCAGTGTCTAGCCTTCACCCCTGTCAAAGTAGGAATCTGATCATGCTTGCTCTTTGGAGAACAGAAAGTAGAGAGTGTCAGCTTCCTGATCCTGTCACTGGCCTCAATGCCTTGCTCTTGGTAGAGGGCGCAGATTTTCCTAAAGAGGTAGGTCAGTCTCTCATTCTGTGTTCCTGGCAGGCCTGGCTTCACAACCAGGTCAAAGAGGACATTGGCCAGCACATGTGCTGTGAGGCCTTCCTCTAGCACATGTAGGGTGTCATATTTGAAGCTTTCACCAACCACACCTGGAATGGTGCTGATCACATGATCTGTAGGACATGTCCCTGCATGCTCCACCACTGTAGCCCTCCAAGCTGCAGTGGGCCTGAAGTCATTATAGGGGAGAGTGCTTTTGTTTGCTGAGCAATTGAAGCACATCTCCTCATGTGATGCACCTTTCAGCTGGAACTCATTCTGGAGGTACTCACCATCTGCCTGCACTGCCCAGATGCAAGCTCTGAAGCCTTCTCTGCTCAAAGGTTGACCAGCCATTTGCTGTCTCCAAGACTTTGCTGGCCAAGGGTTCCCTGCATGGTCAAATTCAGGAAACTTGTTGTAGAAAGCAGCTTCCCAAGACCATTGGAGTACTTGCCAAAGGACCTTCATGGTGTCAGATGCTGCATCATCAGGGCTCTTGTTGATGGCACCCTTTGGCAAAGCCAGTAGCAAGAGCTGGCTTGAAGCAACATTGGGGCTGGATAGCAGGCTCCTCATGCTGATCACATTGATGCTATCATTTCGCTGGAATTGGCCCCCATCTCCATGTAAGCCACAGGGCAAGCACTTATGTCTGTGCTCCTTAGCCAATGCATGTAAACCACAGAGGAAAAGGTTGCCTTTTTGGATTTGGATGCAAAGGTGGCAGTGACAAATGGCACTCTATGCTGCTGAGTCTCTTTGATAATGTTGTTCTTCAGCTGTGGGTCTTTTGGGCTGTGTTCTTTCCAGAACTCTTCAACATCTTGCAACCCTGACATAGCTTGGTCTTGGCCACAAAGCCAATAAAACCACTCATGTGGTAAGAACATCCCTATTTTCTTCTGTGCCACATACAGGCCATCTGCTGTTCTGAGCTGCACAGGAGTCTCCACAAAGTAGGGCATGGGCAAGTCTATGTCAGTGCTTTCACAGTACTTGGATTGCAATTGGTGGGCAATGTGGTTGGGATTCTGGCCATGGTTGCCAAGGGATGCAAGCTCCTGGATATCACTGGTGGATGCCCCTGACTTGCTTGCAGCCAAAGCAAGTGCTTGGATGGAAGGCCCCTCAGTGCAGCCACTGGCAAAAAATTAAAGGACCGGATAACCCCACAAGTCAACTTCTTCCAACAAGCAACAAAAGAAAGGCAAAGACGGCATGGGGTAAGCAAGAAAGAGAAAAGAGATGGTGAAGGATTGGTGTGGAGTAAGTTATGTGTGGACGAGTATGTGTGAGTAAGTTGTGTATGGATGAGTTGTGTTTGTGGGTGAGGTGTGTGGGTGTGTGCGTGTGTGTGTGTGTGTGTGCGAGTATGTGTGTGTGGTGTGCGGCCACGATCAAAGATGCCCCACGCCAGGAAGTGCGGCGAAGGGCAATCGATGCGTGACCATTGATTATGTGTCCGCAAACGTACAGCGCAGACCATCACGAAAACGGATGGCCCACGACTGGCGTTTGGATGATGTGTGTGTGTGTGTGTGGGTGTGTGTGTGTGTGTTTGTCTGTGTGTGTGTGTGCGTGGGTGTGTGTGTGTGTGTGCGTACGTGTGTGTATGTGTGTGTCTGTGTGTGTGTGTACGTGTGTGTATGTGTGTGTCTGTGTGTGTGTATGTGTGTGTGCGTGTGTGTGTGTCGGTGTGTGTGTGAGTGCGGGTGTTGTGAGTGGCGGTCCTATTGTAGCTGAGTTCCGCGGCGTCACAGGCGCCCAAGCCCGTCCAAGCGCGCCACCCAATGCCATCTGTCCCACGCCTGCCACGCAAACCGACAGTAGATGTGAGTTGGTGCCACGCCTGCGTTCGTGCCACGCCTGCCACACAACATGCCGCGGCGTCACAGGCGCCCAAGCCCGTCCAAGCGCGCCACCCAATGCCATCTGTCCCACGCCTGCCACGCAAAACGACAGTAGATGTGCGTTTGTCCCACGCCTGCCACACAAAACGAGAGTAGATGTGCCACGCCTGCGTTCGTGCCACGCCTGCCACACAACATGCCGCGGCGTCACAGGCGCCCAAGCCCGTCCAAGCGCGCCACCCAATGCCATCTGTCCCACGCCTGCCACGCAAAACGACAGTAGATGTGCGTTTGTCCCACGCCTGCCACACAAAACGAGAGTAGATGTGACAGTAGATGTGAGTTTGTGCCACGCCTGCCACGCAACGTGCCGCGGCGTCACAGGCGCTCAAGCCCGTCCAAGCGCGCCACCCAATGCCATCTGTCCCACGCCTGCCACGCAAAACGACAGTAGATGTGCGTTTGTGCCACGCCTGCCACGTGAAACGACAGTAGATGTGAGTTTGTGCCACGCCTGCCACGCAAAGTGCCGCAGCGTCACAGGCGCCCAAGCCCGTCCAAGCGCGCCACCCAATGCCATCTGTCCCACGCCTGCCACGCAAAACGAAAGTAGATGTGAGTTTGTGCCACGCCTTGCCACGCAAAACGAGAGTAGATGTGAGTTTGTGCCACGCCTGCCACGTGAAACGACAGTAGATGTGAGTTTGTGCCACGCCTGCCACACAACGTGCCGCGGCGTCACAGGCGCCCAAGCCCGTCCAAGCGCGCCACCCAATGTCATCTGTCCCACGCCTGCCACGCAAAACGACAGTAGATGTGCGTTTGTGCCACGCCTGCCACGTGAAACGACAGTAGATGTGAGTTTGTGCCACGCCTGCCACACAAAGTGCCGCGGCGTCAAAGGCGCCCAAGCCCGTCCAAGCGCGCCACCCAATGCCATCTGTCCCACGCCTGCCACGCAAAACGAGAGTAGATGTGAGTTTGTGCCACGCCTGCCACGTGAAACGACAGTAGATGTGAGTTTGTGCCACGCCTGCCACGCAAAGTGCCGCGGCGTCACAGGCGCCCAAGCCCGTCCAAGCGCGCCACCCAATGCCATCAGATGTGCGTTTGTGCCACGCCTGCCACGTGAAACGACAGTAGATGTGAGTTTGTGCCACGCCTGCCACGCAAAACGAGAGTAGATGTGAGTTTGTGCCACGCCTGCCACACAAAGTGCCGCGGCGTCACAAGCGCCCAAGCCCGTCCAAGCGCGCCACCCAATGCCATCTGTCCCACGCCTGCCACGCAAAACGAGAGTAGATGTGAGTTTGTGCCACGCCTGCCACGCAAAGTGCCGCGGCGTCACAGGCGCCCAAGCCCGTCCAAGCGCGCCACCCAATGCCATCTGTCCCACGCCTGCCACGCAAAACGACAGTAGATGTGAGTTTGTGCCACGCCTGCCACGTGAAACGAAGGTGGATGTGAGTTTGTGACGGTGGATGTGAGTTTGTGTGGTGACAAAGTATGTGTTGACAAAGTGTTTGTTGAGAAAGTGTGTGGTGACAAAGTATGTGTTGACAAAATGTTTGTTGAGAAAGTGTGTGGTGACAAAGTGTGTGTGGACAAAGTGTGTGTGGACAAAGTGTGTGGTGACAAAGTATGTGTTGACAAAGTGTTTGTTGAGAAAGTGTGTGGTGACAAAGTGTGTGTGGACAAAGTGTGTGTGGACAAAGTGTGTGGTGACAAAGTATGTGTTGACAAAGTGTTTGTTGAGAAAATGTATGTTGAGAAAATGTATGTTGATAAAGTGTTTGTTGATAAAGTGTATGTTGAATGTATGTTGAGAGTGTTTGTTGATAAAGTGTGTGTTGGACAAAGTGTGTGGTGATAAAGTGTGTGTTGAGAAAGTGTTTGTTGACAAAGTGTATGGTGACAAAGTGTGGAGGAGGGCGGAGGAGGAGAAGGCGGCGGAGGAGGAGCCCGGGATACAGAATCAAAAACAAGAACCCCACACAAAGATGTGGGGAACAAACAGCACATGCAATCACATTGGTCCTTCAGCCAGACAACTTTTGAATAAACTTTGGCAAGGAGCTGACATGCCATTTGCAAAGTGCTCCAGCAGGCAAGACCCTAAGGGTGAAAACTCTTGGCACAACATGGTAGAGCTGCTGGCCTGCTCTCGTTTTTTTCCTTTTCCATTTTTCTCTTTGGTTGGCCATTGCTTTTTCACACAGCTTTGCCCTTTTTCAAGGCAAGAATAGCCCTTCTTCAAGGCCAGAATGGCCCTTTTTCAAGGCCAGCCATTCAGAAGAGTTGAGCCAAACAGCTTTAAAACACCATGGGGAAACTGATTTGAGTGCCACAGGGGCAGTCTTGCCTGCTTTTGTTCTTCAACCCTTCCCCACAAGCAGAAAACCATTTTTCCCAACTTCTCAAGCAAACAGTTTCTGTGCTGCCCAAAGTTTTTCAATGCATAGCCCTTTTGCAAGGCTTTTGCCCTTCTTCAAGGCCTTTGCATTCTTTCAGGATTCATTTCTTTTCCACAGCCTTTTCTGCTCTCTTTACAGCCAGTGCTGCTTCACAGAGAGTGTCCTTGGCAACTTCCAGCTTGACCTTCTGCCCCTGCTTGCTAAGTTTTTGCAACTCAACTTGGCAACTCTGCAGTTCCTTCTGGTGCTTTGCTGCCTTGCTCCCTGAGCTGCCCTTTGCAAGGCCAGCATTGATTTGCTTGACCAGCTTGAGCATCTTCAAGATTCTCTTGGCTGTGAGCTCTTTGCTTTTGCTCCCCCCCATGTCTGACAGGAGGTCAGCTTCCTTTGCAGCTGCATTGAGCTTTTGTTTGCTATCTTCTTCCTCATCTTCTGCATCACCTTCTTCATCTGACTCTTTGTCTTTGATAGCTGCAAGCTCTTTAGCCTTTTTTTTGGCACTGGTGGGGAGGACATCATTCAAGGCATTTGCTGCCAGCCCTTCCTCAGGGCTCAACATGGTGCCAGCCTTTCTGGCTTCCATCCATTGGATGGCTTCCAGTTTGGTGGCAGCCTCCATGTTCATCTCATGCTTGGACTGCTTGTCACTGTAGACAATTGCTGTCTCCAGGCAGAACTGCCACTCTTCTTGGTCCTTTGGGTCTTTTCTGACCCTGATGGACCCCCTGTTCACCTCACCATATGCCAGCAAAGGTTGGCATTCCAAGTCAGGGGGTTGAGTGCAAGATGTGCAATGCATATTGCTGCCAGGGTGCTCTCCTCATGGCTTCCTGTAATCCAAACCTCGTCAGTATGGCTTGGAATGGCACCCATTCCTCTGTTTCCCTGCTGCCTCAGAGAAACACACTCACAAGTCACAAGCAAGCAGCAGGAGTGATGGCACTCAGAACACCCATTGAAATTTGGGTTCTGCCAGCCAAGCTGCCTGAAACTTCGGTCAAGGCAACCAACTCTTTGTGGTAGATGCCAGCCTTCTTCAGATCACCCCTGTTCTTCAAAAACACAGCCAGCAGCTGTTTTTTTTTCTCTTCACTTCCCTTCCCCTTACAGTGGGTGTTCCACAGCTCTGTGGCTTTGGGATCCTTCAAGGCATCCCTTGCCCTGCTAAAGCGACCCCAAAGGGCTTCTCTCTGGCCAGGGGTGAGGCTGTCAAGGAAAGTCTGAACATTTCCATTGGCTTTCTTTTGGAAGGTTTCCATCTTTTCTTCCAGGCTCAGGTCTGCCTCATTTTTTGGTAATTTCAAAATGGAACTGGGCCTTTTCAAAATGCCTGGCCCTTTTGCAAGGCTTTGCCCTTTTGCAGGGCTTTGCCCTTGTGCAGGGCTGGTCTCTGTTTGCTTTGTTTTTTTTGGGGTAGCTTTCATGGCCTTCATTGTCTTTCCCATTGCCTTTGCCCTTCTGCAAGGCTTTGGGTTGAGAGGTTGCCCTTGGCAAGGCCAAAGAAAATTGCAGGTTTCAACCTTGAGCTTTTGAAAGCTACAGATTTCAAAAAAAAATGACACCAATCATTTCTACCCAGAAAACTGCCACCCATCATATGACATCATATGATGCAATATGATGGCACCACCCATCATATGATGGCCACAACCCATCATATGATGGCCCAAGCCCATCATATGATGGCCCAAGCCCATCATATGATGGCCCCACCCATCAAATGACATCATATGATGCAATATGATGGATCCACTTTTTGTGGTCATTTTGGAACCTGTGCCAAACTGATTTGATTTGAAAAAAACAATGCAGACCTTTTCAAAATTTTGGATTCCACTTTGAACTGTTTTTTTTGGGTAATGACTGGACTGCTCATTTTTTCAATATATGTTTCATTCAGCAATCAGTGGGCTATTCATGCCCAAGCTCCCCAGCAACCTCTTTTTTCTCAACTGCTCACAGTGCAGGAGGTGGCCCAAAGTCCCTTTGGAACTTTTTCAAAAAATAGAAGCCCTTACCCAAGGCTGGCCCTTCCTCAAGGCTTTGGCCCTTCTTCAAGGCTTTAGCCCTTCTTCAAGGCTTTCAATTTTTTCTTCTATTGCCTTTTCTGGCTACTTCAACCCAGCTACCCTCTTCCTCTTTCACCTCAGGTGCAGCCTTTGGCCCAGGCCTTCCTTTATTCTTAGGCTTGGCACCTTTTGGACCCCCCCTGCCTTTGCCTGGTGGTGGGGAAGGGCTGGACTGCCCACTGTTGGAGCTGCTGGTGCTGCTGCTTTGCTGGTTCTGCCCTTTCTCAAGGCCTTTTGTTTGCCCTTTTTCAAGGCCTTTTGCATGCCCTTTCCCAAGGCCTTTTGCTTGCCCTTTCCCAAGGCCACTCCTCTGATCCCTGGGTGGTCCTGGCAGAGAAATATGGGAAGTATACCTGAAAATTGGACAGCATGGATTTGAAAAAAGGTGCAATGAGAAAACCAGACAGTCCTGCAGCATTTGGTTCACTTGCCTGTGCTGCACCTGCCCAAAAAATCATGAACTGAATGGGCATTGCACAAAAAAAGGTATGAAGTATGAACTGAACTGTGCACACTCTCATGGCCAGGCCTTTGGGGCTTGGAGGCTGGGATGCAGCTGCTTGGCTGGTACCATACCCATAGCCACCTGCCACAAAAAAAAGTGCACATGCAAATTTGAAAACAAAAAACAGCATGAGTGTAATGCCACCTTGTGCTGGCCACTGTTGTGGCCACTGTTGTGGCCACTGCTGTGACCACCCTTGTGGCCATTGGTGTTGCTGCCACTGCTGCTGCTGTTGCCATACCAGCTGCTGCTGGTATGCTGCCCCTTGTTGGAAAGCTTCTTGCTTCTCCCTCTCAGCTTTCTCTTGTTTCTCCTTCCTCCCCATCATCCTTTTGAACTTGCTTTGGCCCATAGCAGCCAGTCTTTGGACATACTCCTCATCCTTGTTTTTTGGCAGCCCTTGTTTCTCCTGCAGGATTTGCAGCCTTTGCCTCATATGGGCACTGCCTGAAGTCAGGCTTTTGCCATGTTCATCCCTCCTCCACCTCCTTTCCCCTCCATCTTCCCATTTTTCTTCTTCCCACCTCCCTCTGGTCTTCCATGTGGAAGCCCATTCTTTTTCTTCCTTGTCATCCCCCCAGCCCTCCCACTCTTCCCACCCATCTTGCCACCCTTTTTCCCACCCATCATCACTCCAGCTGTTTCTGGCCATTGGGGCCTTGCTTTTGCTCCTGCTTCTGCTGGGTGACTTAGGTGGTGAAGGCCTGGAGTAGTCAGGGCTGGAAGGGGATGATACCATACACTGCCCTTACACAAGGCTTGGCCCTTCTGCAGGACAGAATGCCCTTTTCAAGGCAAGTCAAATTGAAGTGCCCTTTCGCGAGGTTTGGCCCTTGGTCTTGTTGCAAACCAAGGAAGCCTTACAGCTTTAGCAGCTTGAGCCCAAAATTGAAACAGAATATGCAACATTGTTCAGGTTGTACTTGGTTTTGCTTACACAACATGTTGCTTTTGGCTTGGCAGCACCTGGCCATGTATTGCAGCACCTTTTTTTCACTCATGTATGCAGAAGAGTGGTGCTGCTGTATGTACAATATTTACAGCTTGCACAGCCCTTATACAAGGCTACTGCCTTGTGCAAGGCTTTGGTGTGTGCTTGCACAGCCCTTTTGCAAGGCTACTGCCTTTATTCAAGGCTACAGCCCTTTGCAAGGCAATCCACATCATGCCTTTTCATATTTTTGAAACAGTTTCAACCTGGCAGCTAATACTGAGGCCTTGGTGGCACCAGCCTGCTTGCAAGCAGGCAAGAGCTCCTCCACCAGCTGCTTATGGGAAACCTTGAGCTTGGCAGCTTGGGCCAAAGACACACTGACCACAAGCTTCTTGACAGTGTTTGGGCCAAAAGGCATGTGTTGTATGTAGGACTGGTTCTTGCCACCACCTATGCTCAGGGTCTCCTGGGCAATTGGGGTATCTGGCCCCAAGCCTGTGTCACCTGGCTTCTTTTTCACTTCTGCTGCTGGTTTTTTTCCTGCTGCTGGTTTTTTCTTGGCACCGTCCTTCTCTTTACTTCCTTTCCCAGCAGGCCTTTTCTTCACAGGCTTGCCAGCCTTTTCCCTCCACATAGCTTTGGTCACAGGAGGTGGAGACCCAAGCAAAGAGTTGCTGGGTGCAGCAGAAGCTTCAGAAGCTTCAGAAGCTTCAGAAGCTTCACCATCAGAACCATCCTCTGCCTCTGATGCAGAAGAAGTGGCCAACATTGCAGGGAAGCCATCAGATGCCATTGTAACATCTGACACCTCTTTCTTCAGCTTCCTCTTGCCTGGTGACCCACCAACCTTTTTACCAGTTTTTTTGTATAGACCAGTGAGCACTTGGAACTGTGCTGTGTCAAGTTTGGTGCCAAACCTTTCCCAACCTGCTGGACTGGCTGTCACCCTCCTCCAGTGTTTAAGGAGGACAAGTATGCTGTCAGCAGCCCTCCCAGGTAGCAAAGCTGCTTCCACCTCCCAGTACTTGTTCAAGAGTTCAGCCCCAAACTTGTGTTTCAGATTCCTGTACCTGATTTCTGCACTGGGGCTGACTTGCACCAATGCTTTGAGGAGAGGGTGCAATTTGAACATGGCTCTGGGGATCTCAGCCTGCTGTGGCTGGAGATGCCTGTAGTCCAGCAGGTTCAATGCTTCTTGCACACCAATCTGCCTGATGTGGCTGTCAAGGGCATCATCTAAAGCATCCTGGTCAACTTCAGGGAAACTTTTTCTCAGCTTGGGCTGTGGGTTTCCTGCACCTTTTTTCTTGACTGGTTTCATGAGGACCATGCCCTTTTTCAGAGCTTTGCCTTTCTTCAAGGTTTGGCCCTTTGCAGCAAATCAAACAATGAAGCAAAGTTTCAGCTTGAGCCTGTACTGCAAGGGAAATGCAAGGGAAACAGCCTGACACTGCACACCAATTGCCCTGCCCAGTGCTGTGTTTCAATGCCACACTGTTCTTACATGTCAGCTTGCTAGCTTTTCTCCCCTTTTTCAGCAGCTGTCTCCAATCTATGCCCTTTTCAAGGCAATTTTACAGCCCTTTGTCAAGGCAATTTTACAGCCCTTTTTCAAGGCAATTTTACAGCCCTTTTTCAAGGCAATTTCAATGCCTTTTTTCAAAGCAATTTCAATGCCCTTTTTCAAGGCAATTTCACCTAGCTGGACATTTGTCTATTGGGTTCCAATATTTAAAATAGGACCCACTTCTTTGGAAGGTGTTTCTCCATTCCCTTCCACATTTCCAGCACCTAATCCCCCAGTCTGGTTTGCCCAGGTTCCTCCTCCACAGCCAGGCATCACAGGACACAGTCTGGCAGTCCAAGTACTCCCAGTAGGCCATGGCCTCTTGCATGGTCCCAGGAAGAGGGGGTCTCATCAGCATGTCTAAAACATCCAGCTGTGCTTCATCAATGTTTTGCTCTTCCTCCATGGCCCTTCTTCAAGGCAATGCCCTTTTCAAGGCACTGCCCTTTTTCAAGGCTTAAAAAAAGGCGACTCAGGAGCTTGGGCCAAAAAGCTAGGTTCCAGGGAGACCAACTTCTGCTGCCACTGTTTGTTGCATGGCCATTTGAAAAGAAAGCAGTTTGAAACTCAGCCAATTTGCAACAGATTGAGAACAGCCATTTCACCTTATTGAAACAGCATTTTCCACATATGTTGAAACATGTTTCAACATCAATTTCAACATGATATTGTTGTTTTTTTCAATATGGTATGTTGAAATTTTGATGTTACCTCTGTTGAAATAAATTTCAATATCTATATTGTAATTTTCAATAAACCCTTCATTTCAATATATGGATCAAATTTCAATAACTATATTGAATCTTTTCAATAAGGCGTACTCTGGGATGTGGTAAATTGCCAGGTTCAGTCCCCACTGATTACTTTAGTACTTTAGTACTAGATATGGTACCTCTGAAAAAGCCCAAGGTGACTGTCAAAACATACCCCTGATGAAATTGAGCCAGCTACATGTTTTGAGCTAGCTCGAAAAAATGGAAGATTGTGGATTCCACCATTCAATAAATGCTAGCGAGATATATTTGTATCCTGATCCGTTCTGGTTTCCCGGAACAAGACTTCTGGAGTCCGATTTGTTTTCAAAATCGCCCGCTGCATAATATTTACTACAACGGCCCCATAGGTTCCACTAATATATCCATCTAGATTCTAGACTATCCCTGAACGTTTTCAATCTCATATTCATCATTATTTTATGGGGGGGTCCTATCATACCCCCTACCGTCCATACCCCCTTGGAATATTTTTAAAATATTCCGCTATAGTTGAACGTTGTTTTGGAAAAGTATTCTGATACGTTGCCTACGTACGGAATTCTGGCAACAAAAATATTCTGGCAACATGTGAACCTTTTGCTGGAAAATATTCCAGGTATATGCTGAGGGTATCTAAGCTGAACATAGCTGAACATGATGGTGTTTGGCACTATTCGTTCTACACATGTTTGTATCGCGCTGGGACGGATGCATCGTTTTTTCCCCAAGGGATGAAGCTTCAAAGGCGCCATCCCACACTGCATCCTACCCTACATATCCCTAAACTACATTAAACAACTTTGGAAATCTTTCTTGGGGAAATCCCTCAAAATGGCATTATACCTGGTTCTCTCCTGAAATTGTTCCCAACCTTTCATTTTTCACCCTATTTCGTCCATGTTCTTTTCATGTCCTTCCAAAGAACTCCCGATAGCATCCGATGGCCTTGCGTGGTAAGGGGTAAAAAAGGGTAAGAAGCGCTTGGTTGTCACATGTTTTGTCATGTTTTGTTTTTTTTTAAGAGTTCCGGGCATCTCCACGGCCCTAGAATAATTTCTCCTTTGGCAAAATCCCATAGAATGGCATTCAACTTGGCTCTCTCTTGGAAGTGTTCCCAACCTTTCATTTTTCCCTCTATTTCTTCCATCTTCTTTTCAGCAAGAAGCATTTGGTTGTGATTGCTTTTTTCATGTTTTGTCCTGTTTCTGTGCTGGCTGGGTGGTTGTGGCAGCTACTTTTTTATTCGAGGGGTTCCGGACATCTCACATACGCCTAGAATAATTTCTTCCCTGGTGGCCATCCTACAGAATGGCATTCAACATGGCTCTTTCCTGGAAGTGCCCCCAAAATGTCCCAACCTTTCATGTTTCCCTCTATTTCTTCCATCTTCTTTTCAGCAAGAAGCATTTGGTTGTGATTGTTTTTGCTGACGTCGTCCAATACGGCCCCGGGGAATTTGCTAGTTTTCAATAAACATGGGTTGGGGTGGGGTGGGGTAGGATCTTAACGTTCATGGTACGCTGCTGATGATGTTACGCTGCCCGTTCGGGGTTGGGGTGGGGTGGGGTGGGATGTTAACGTTCATGGTACGCTGATGATGTTACGCTGCCCGTTCGGGTTGGGGTGGGGTGGGGTGGGATGTTAACGTTCATGGTACGCTGATGATGTTACGCTGCCCGTTGGGGTTGGGGTGGGGTGGGGTGGGATGTTAACGTTCATGGTACGCTGATGATGTTATGCTGCCCGTTGGGGTTGGGGTGGGGTGGGGTTGGGATGAATATGTAGATAGATAGATAGATAGATAGATAGATAGATAGATAGATAGATAGATAGATTAGATAGATATATATGTATATGTGTGTGTAAACGGCTATCAATTCAAGCCGAACTTATTCATTTGTCGTCATTCACATGTCGTATTGAGCTTCGATCTTGGAGGCAGTAGCATCTCCCGGATTTCATTTATGTGTGTCAGTTTGGCGAGATTCAGTTTGCGGTAATTAATTTTGCAAGAATTCATTTCTGCGAGCTTCAGTTTGCGAGATACGAATTTTGATAAATTACGAACCAGTAGCAGGGGGCCAGCGCATGGCATCACGACGCTGGCCAACGAAGCTAGTGATGTCATGGGAAGCAGTTGGAGACGTCCAACTGTGTACCTGCAAAGAAGTTTGAAACTTTTGACAAGCTGTCATCCTTGGTATGTTTTGAGAGTCCTTTGAACTGCAATGTGTATCACGTTGGCAAGTTCACCCTGTCAGCACGTGTGACGTCCGATCTCGTAAGGCCACTTAGGTTCATCAAGGCGTATACATCTTCATCACCATATCGAATCTCATCGCGTTCCTTACGGAACCATATCTCAGTGTGTGCATGCCTGTTTGTGTCAGGTTACACATATATATATGGATATATAAATATATGTATATATACTTGCATATATGTATATAAGAATCAGTGTACATGTCCAAGTCTGCAAGGTATGTGTCTATGTCTGGTCTATCATGTATGCAACACGATCCCAACATATTGCTGTCTTCCAAGCGTTTTTTTTCGCTGATTTGCACATGGGCTTGTAAAACCCATTGGAAATAGCACAAAATGGACACAAAGTGCTGTAAAACGCAAGGCATTTGAACATGGCGCAAAATCCATGGTGACAGAAAGTGCCATAAGGGTTATCGAATAGCAAGATGCTTGTTTTCAAAACAAACAAAAACAGCGGGACCGCAATGGACGACGTTACCTTGTTTTTGTCATGTTTTGTCCTGTTTCTGTGCTGGTTGGGCGGTTGCAGCAGTTACTTTTTTAATCGAAGGGTTCCGGACATCTCACATACCCCTAGAATAATTTCTTCCCCGGTGGCAATCCTACAGAATGGCATTCAACATGGCTCTTTCCTGGAAGTGCCCCCAAAATGTCCCAACCTTTCATTTTTCCCTCTATTTCTTCCATCTTCTTTTCAGCAAGAAGCATTTGGTTGTGATTGTTTTTTTCATGTTTTGTTCTGTTTCTGTGCTGGTTGGGTGGTTGTGGCAGCTACTTTTTTATTCGAGGGGTTCCGGACATCTCACATACCCCTAGAATAATTTCTTCCCTGGTGGGAATCCCACAGAATGGCATTCAACATGGCTCTTTCCGGGAAGTGGCCCCAAAATGTCCCAACCTTTCATGTTTCCCTCTATTTTTCCATCTTCTTTTCAGCAAGAAGCATTTGGTTGTGAGTGTTTTTTCATGTTTGTTCTGTTTCTGGGCTGGTTGGGTGGTTGTGGCGGCTAAATTCTTATTCGAAGGGTTCCGGACATCTCACATACCCCTAGAGTTTTTTCTTACGTGAAGATATCCCACACAGTGGGATTAAATGGGAATGAGCGGGAAGGGGCAAGAAGTGTTTGGTTTGGTTGTCATTGATTTTTTCATATTTTCCGGTTTTCCTTTCATGTATCCCCCATCTCTTTTCTATATCTTAATCTTTCCTAGCGTGTCTTTTCTGGGAACTGGTCTCCTCATGTCTCCTCTGGCTGCTTTAAGTCCGATGATTTGGCGAGAACATTGGTGCCCCTATTGTTGCGAAAAAGCTGACAGATTGCAGAGAGGCCACCAAAGGACTGGCGGAGATGTGGATCCTACGTGTGCGAGCGGATTGGCTGAGCTGGGATTTCTTCCATTTTCACTTCCATTTTCTTTTCATGTGCTTCCAAGAAAGGGCAAGAAGCATTTGGTTGTCATATGTTTTGGCATGTTTTGTCCAGTTTCTGGGCTTGTGGCAGCTAGCTGCCCTGGCATCCTCGTCAACTTTGAATTCTGAAAGACTCTGGCTGCGGGCGGAAAAAATTGGGTGGCGCAGTCTTTCTGCTAGCATGGAAGGGTTTCAGCTAGCATCACGGTGGGGTTGTACAAACCAAATTTCAAGCCCTTAGCATCCCTCAGTTAGCAAAACCACGCTGTCATATCAGGCTGCCTTGACCTTGAAGGATTCCGGTGCAAGTATTGCAGCTTTCTGCATACTACATGCCCAAATATGTCAGACAATCAGAAAAAATATATTCAAACATATTCCAATGATATGGGGAGCTCAAGGCCAAACATATTCCAGGTATAGTCCCAGGGGGGGTATCAGATACCCCTTGCCAAAAATATTCCAAAACATTCCAAAAAACATATTCCAAAAAAAATATTCCAGCATCTAAGGGGTATACCTGGAATATTTATGATAAGAGCCCCCCATATTATTTTCCCATGTCAGACTTTATTTCCTCGCTCGTTCATCAGATTTTATTATATGGGTTCCACCGTTAAGGATTCCACCCCCCTCGTTTTGGATTTGGTTCTCTCCTTACGTTCTAAACCCCCAACACTTGCAAATGCATTCCCCATTTAAATTTCCAAATATTGCTTTTCGAATGCTTTCCTCATTTTTTGTTTGGAAGAATCCCAGTATCATGCGGCGATTGATACATATATATATGTATATATATATATGTGTGTGTGTACCATATATATATGATATGTTTATTCCAGGTCCATTATTTTGAGTAGATGTTATGTCATCAAAGGTTCCTATTTCAAGTTGTTAAATGATGTATTTGAATATAGTGTGAATATTTGGTTTTGTTTTAATGCAACTAAATAATAATATTGATGAATCCAA